CCTCCCAGGGTCTGTGTTAGCAGGAATTTGGAGTGGAGGTGGAACTTAACAAGGTGTGCCAGTGTTCCAAGGCCTATCACAGGTACTGTGCCAAACACCTCTGCTGGCTGGGTTAACGGAGCTGTGGTTAAGTGTACAATAGTATATCTAATTCTTACTGATGATATTTTAATGGTTCTTAATGTATCACTCGCCAGTAAAAATCCTCGTAAATTTGTGATTATGAATCTGTATGATCAGTTCCTCAAAGTGGAATATCTATATCGTAGTATATGGCTATGTAAATTTCTGATTGATGTTGCAAAATGTCTGAATCTTGGTGTCCTACTTTGTAAAAATTGGGGTAGAAATATATAGGAATAATGCAGGCATGGTGCGGTGGCCTAATGCCTAAAGTTCGCGCCTTAAACGCAACGGGATCCCAAATGGGTGTCAGTACTGATCCCAGTAGCCCCACTTTCCATCCAACTTCCTGCTTGTGGCCTGGGAAAGCAGTTGAGAATGGCCCAAAGCCTTGGGACCTGCACCTACATGGGAGACCTGGAAGAAGCTCCTGGCTTCAAATCAGCTCAGGTCCAGCCTTTGCAATCACTTGGGGTATAAATCATCAGATGGAAAATCTTCCTCTCGGTCTCTCCTCTCTGTATATCTGACTTTGCAATAAAAATAAATCTTAAAAAATAATGCAAAGTTAGTGAGACTGTCATTTGTTTTTATTTAAATGCTCTGAAATGAAAGTACTGTTTGAGTCCCTGGATTATAGTAAGTACTAAGGAAATGTTGACTGTTGTGATTCTTTTTGGACATTGAAGAAAATTTAGCAAATATTTTTGCCAAAAATTACTTCTGTATGTTTTAATTACAAGTCAATATTAATGACGTATTTTTTGTTTGAAGGGCAGAGTGGGAGGGAGAGGCAGGGAATGAAAGAACTCTTCCAATTGCTGGCTGATTGCCCAGATGGCTCCTGTGTGTGATGCTGGCATTGTAGGTGGTGACTTCACCTGCTATACCACAGCGCTGGCCCTAAAGGAGTATGTGGGGACCTGCTATGAACTAGATGTTATTGTAAGTCTTGAAGACACATGGTGAACAAAACAAAGGCTATCTGAGCCAGGGAGTGCTTTTGTGAATTCTAGGAATGACATTTGCTGAAGATGAAAGAAAAGACCAAACTTAGAGTAAGTGGATTGGTTGGTTAATTAGTGGCAGTACAATACGTATGAAGCTTGGGAGGAGATTTTATTTTTCAGAGGTTTATGCTGTTAATAGGAAATCAGAATCATTAGGTTATAGCATTGATGATTGGAGCCTTGAGGGTCTTTTGTCCCTGAACTTCAATGAGGGGGTTATATTTTGCTCAAGATAAGCAGCTGATTTCTCAAGTCTGAAACCAATTTTGAGTGTCACGGTGGGTGATGGGTGCTCTCTTATCTAGAAATGGGTATTTCTAGAGGAATATTTCACCCAAGTCTAGCAGCTCTTAGCATGCTGTACCTAATATGCTTCAAATCAATTCATGAGTAAGTAGCAATTTTTCAACCCTTTTCTGAGAAATCAGATTTTTGATATTCTGAGAGGAGGAATATAGTTATATTTTAATATATGTTATGTAATATATTAACATGTTTTACATATATACAAAAATATAATACTATACGGCTATTTAAAATTATTTTTTTCCTTGAAGTAATTCTAGTTGCCATCATATCACAGTTAAACTCCACATTTTATGGTGTCTTTGGAATGTGTATTTATGAATTTTCCCCATGAATTTTGCTTACTTAGCCATTGACTTGGGAGATTATCAAGGCCAAACTCATACTCTTGCTCTGTTTGAAACACTAAGTTCAAAGAACCATGAACTGGATTATGTCACTTTCATTACATGAAATAATTATGTGATAATCCTGAAAATCTAGCCACATTTAAACAGTTTGGCATTTCAAGTGTAGTTAAATGAATAAACATGCTTTTGGAGGATTCACACACTGAAGGTTTTTTTTTTTTTTAATTTATTAAAGGGAGCAAGATTTTCCTAGCACTAGTAAAATCGAAGTTTGCAGGTGCTGAGTTCTTGGAGCCAACTGTCATCTTCACAGCCCACAAGGTCATCCTGTGTTCTAACAGAGCCACAATGTGTCATTGCTCCCAGCATGAGCTTTGAGAACAGCTGCACCACACATGGAAAGCCAGGGCGTGTCTGTTTTCATTGTTTCGGGGTGATGACGAAACCCAATCACCATACAAATGAAAATCTCAGAAGTCTAGAAATATTTTGAAGATAAGTTTGAGAGCAAATCTTCCTTTGTCTCTAATTCTGCTTGGGTGCCTTTGATGTTGTATTGTCTGGGATAATGGTAGAGGGTGTGGCAAGAGAAAGGTTGAATTCAAAATATCAGTGACTTAAATGTGTTTTTTCAGGTCTTAATTAGTTTCTGCTGGTTCTTAAGTTTAGACACTGCCATAGCTATGACTGTTACCGCTCATCAGACATACCTCTGTGTCCTAGTTAAGTGTGCGTTCAGATTTATCTGCTAAGTTAGAAATACAAAATAACATGAAATGAAATTCTCCTCTGATTCTGTTATTAATTTTTCTCCTGGGGCTAAGGACCCAGGACAATCAGATCCAGATTCTGACAGGTCAGAGTACAACTTGAAATTATTTGTGGGTTTATATCTGTTTTTACTTACCCTGCAGTGAGACATGCAGAAGAAACAGCCACTTGCCCCTGGAGGCAGTGGGGCTACAGGAGACAACCTGCCTCTGTGTTGTGGTGGTGGTCAGACACTCAGGGATACTTACATACTTCCACATATGCACAGCCAGCCACATCCACTGATAACTACATATGTGTGTCCATGTGCATCCACAGCAGCTATATCTAAACATGCCACCAGCTGCTTTTATAGGCTCACAGACAATAGTGGGTCACAGCCAAATCATTGTATAACAGACTTGTGGGCAGCTAGCCAAGCAAGTACACATGTCAGTTACCATGACATCAGTTATCACAGAGGGATTCAGGAGCACAGATAAAAGGGGGCAAGGGGAATTGATAAACATCATCTTCCCAACATCCACAATTTCACAGGCAAATAATCAGAGAAGAGGTTAACCAAGACACCACACACAGCCCATGGTTTGTAAACATCTCCATTCCCCCGGCTGTGAAACTCTACAGTGCTATATGTCAAGTGTTATGTTCTCCTTTCTAAAATACAATATCTTGTACTCTCTGTCTTATTCTGCTTTGCCTTTTCAGCAACTTTGTCAAGTCATAGGATAACATTTTATCATCCTCTTACTTTTTAAGGATTATGCTATTTTCTTTATTAGGACGCTGCCCACAAATCTGACAGATGTATCTGCTGATCCATTGTTTGGGCTATTGATTAAGCAGTTTGGAGAGTGCTCGGTTTGGGATTAACATTCAGGGAATAATGTTTGCTCTTCTGGGTCGATCTCCATAGATCTCAGAGTGTTCAAGTCAGAGCAATAGCAATTTGAAAATGAACCTTAATGTCACTTCAGCTTTACCTGAGCAGGTGCCGTTTCAATAGAGACTAAAGGGCAATTCAGTAGCAATGTGATTTTTATAATCTATACACAACATCCTTCTTCCTACATCCACATGTGTTTTTTCTGAGACACTGTCTCCCAAGAAATGTCACCAATTCTTCAAAGAAGGTACCTCCAGGAGAAATGAACCAGCACATACCCATACCTGTGAAGATAAGTAAAATGGAATGCAAAAGCCTTCCTGCACTCTCCCATTGTCATTGAATTGGATAAAGTGCAGAAAAGTATGGCATTGGAAAAATAATTGAATTCTGGCTAGAGATGAAAATGCCGCAGTTGAAAATGTTCCAGAACAACATGTACTTGGATTCATATGAAAGAAAAGTTCTTTGAGCGTTTAGGCCAAGTGACCCAGCAGGGTTGATAGTGAGAGGCATATTTCACAGTTGTATAAATATTTAAAATAATTTTCCAGCCTATAAAACAAGTAAATTAGGTTATTTTTTTTTTTAAAACCAGCACAGTAAAGTTAACCTGCCTTTCTTAGTGGGAAAACTCGCCATCCATCCTCATCTTGGCCCTTTCCTCTAAGAGGGAATCCCTGAGAAAGTAGCACGGTGAAGATTTTCCACTTGAAAAACCAAACTGCTTTATATTTCCAGGAATTTCAGAGGGGATATTCAGCACCTATAGCACAGCTGTTCTGTTTTTAAAGGCCTGATCTGGCTTTGGGCAGCAGGAACCGGTTTGTGACTATGGATTAGATTCAATAGATAAAATTCTCATTGTAACTCCCTCTGAACTTGAAGAGTAGATGAGGGACTCCACTGTACATCTGAGCTTTAAGGAAAGCTGCACAGTTGCTGGCTGTAACGTCCTGAGTGCTATCATCTTAGCCTCTGAGCCTATCAAGAAAGCCATCAGTACTGTGAATGATTTGTGGGTGATCATTCTCAATTGGTATCTTTGAACACTCAGTTACTCTTGTTCTTTCCAAAATTTATCTTTTTTCTTCATTTTGACCATTGTCCTGCATCATTCTCTATTACTGCTGTTTCTTTGCTTTTTTGCCTCCAGAGAAGGATTCCAAGATCATGGCAGTGATGTTTGAAGTGTTTACTAATGAAGGCTTTGGAAAGAATGCCAATGACAAAATGTGGGATGTCCATAAGACACTGCGTAAAGCTGATACCATGGGGTAGTGGGTAGAGTTCTCTCCTGTGGGTTGGGCAAACTGAACAGGCCTTCGGTATGGCACAAACTCACTGGGTATTCCTGGGAAAATTATTTTTTCCTCTCTGCTCGTGGTTCTCACAGTACTCAGGCAAAGAAATTCATTAGGGAAGGTCTTTTCAAATTTCACTTTTTGGAGTCTTATCTGTTTTCTTTGACATATTCATCATGAATATATTCCTTGATTATACTTGTGATTCTTTCTGTTCCTGAAAAAGTACTAATTTTGGTTTTGTTTTTAGGATGCAGAATGAAAAGTGGATGAATGTCAAAGTGGGAGACATCATTAAATTAGAAAATAACCAATTTGTTGCTGTGAGTATTTAATATTTAAATTATGTAAGTTTTTACATGTACAAATTTAGTAAATCCATAGTAGGCCTGGGTAATACTATTATATATTCATTAAAGGTCTCAGTTTAAAGATATTGTAAAAGATTATTTCCAATAACATGATAAGGCTGAATTATCTCCTTGTCCATTTCTTTAGGGACCAATCTTTAACAAAAATTTTAAGTCAGGATCCATTAATCATTTTACATAAGAGTTTGAAAAATGCTTCTGAGTACCTTAAAAACAGTTTTTCTCACATATTTTGTACACCATTCCTTAATACTGTGATTAGAATTGCTAATTTCCTGATTAACCAGAAGTTTTATTGATTGTGCTGTGTCAATGAAAGTTTTACTTTGTGTATCTGCTGTACTATAATTTATATTCTCAATCTCCTTATATTGCAATTTACTGAATTAAGAGTATTCCAACAACTACTATAATGTATGCAACTGTTGTAGTTCAAATTAAATTTAGGGTGACAAAGATAGCCAGTTTGGAGATGAAAACTGTTATATACGTCGAACATATGTTAGACTAGCTATGAGAACTGTTATATTCATTGTAATATTATGTAGCAAGTTGTGATATTCATTAAATTTGTGCTACCTTACTGCAAGGGGAGACATCTAAGATGTGCTTACAAGGACAACAAATGAGTTAGGACTCCTAAAGAGCTTCCCTTAGCCATATTCTTTGGTTAATGCATTTTCTATGGATTCTGAGTTTGCTGGGTCAACCCTTGCTAAGAAACCACTCAATGGAGAGTCCATTCACAAAAGTACTCACAGTTTCAAGCAGAGAAATCTTTGTTTTCCTGGCAAGCTGAATGGTTCAGAAAATAGCTGAAAACCAAAAGTAGATGCCAAAGCAGCTAACAGGGAGCCTGGAAGTCGTGGTGTTGGTTCCTTCTGTGCAGGGCAGGCTGTCAGGTCCTCACATTCTGTTGACTATTATTTTAGACACAATTTACATGAGCTTGTCTGGCTTGTTTTGCAGCTCTTTAGAGTTTGGGAACACCACCTATGAGAACAGGCCCTGTAGGTGGGCTCAGGGTTACATGTGTACAGGACAGTGGATGGGGAACTGGTAAGGATATTTCTTTGTTCCCTTCCTTAAGTGAACAAATGCTTCATTGCTTTTGGTTCGTTCATGTGTCAAATCAGACTGCTAGACCACTGCATCATTTCAGATAGACCTTCCTGTCTTCCCAGGCTGTGGTTTCCTAAGTTGGGATGCTACAGGATCCCTGAAGTCCAAGTGCATGTTGATCTGCCTGCTGTCTGATGCCTAGTGTCCTGTTACATTATAGGGAGCATTCAGTTAATGTTGGCTAAATGAATGGTGCTATCCATTTGTAGAAAGAAGACAGAAAAAAAAATGGATCTGAAGTAATAAAAACCAGACTTTTTGGGCCAATAGGATACCAACAAATAAATATAAATGCCGTAATGAAGCAAATATTATCTTCAGAACTCGTTGTTTTTGAAGAAAAGGCTATATGCTTCCCATTTTGGTTCTTCTTTCCAAGTAGATCCAATGAGAAGACTTGTGTACTTTTAAGTAGATACCTTTAACTTTTGAAAAGAAGCTTGCATATGTGGAATTCTCAGATGTGTGCATTCAATTTTTTGGCAGCTACTGTATGCCAAATGCTGCTTGATGATAAGGAATTACAAAAAGCAAACCTTATCCTTCAGTAAAAGCCCCATGTATATACTCCAACAGGATAAACAATAGGCTGGACTCACTTGCTCACTAATAGTGTTATTTCTTCATTTATACATTTTTAAGGAATAAGTTCAGAAAAGCAAGAGGGAAATCTGTGTTTCAAACTTTGTTTTTGGCAGGGGAGGGTGTTGTGTGGAGTGGCACAGCCAGCGTATCAGAGCTCCAGCTTGCCCCCGAGCCTTGATATTCTAATTTGTATTTCCCTCCAGCTGTGCTTTTAAGTTAGCTACATTTTCTATTTTGTAATATACATGTTTATTATTGTGAAGCCAGTAAATGAGATCCATAAGACAAGGCTGAGTCTCTCAGCTAGAAGGAAACCACTTTCGTGAGTGCATCATTAACACTGGTTTAAAAATGAATCACACGTTTACACAAGTCCCCGTGCAGTCAGTGATCCATGTGTTTCAGGGGTGTCCAACAGAACTTTAGCAATGGAGAAAATGTTCTATATTTGTACCCTCCAATGGGATAGCCAGTAGCCCCATATGGCAACCAAGCACTCAACATGTGGTTAGTGTAGCTGAAGAATTGAACTTGTAAGTATTTCAGAATTAAATAGCTACATGCAACTTGCAGCTATCATGTTGGACAGTACAGATGGGATCCTTTATTGTGGTTCCATGATGAGGTGAGAGTGGTTGGTTTCAACCCTTCGCTTGTGGCTGCTCCTCCTGTTTTCATCTGGAGGAACACCATCAAAATCACACTGTCAGTGGCTGGCACTCCCTTGCTCAATCCCCTCTCCTAAGAGTGTCTTCTTTGTTACATATGAGGGCAGGGGGTGGTGTGCATGACTGCCACCTTTCCCTTTTCTCATGCATACATACATGCATACATATATATGTGTGTGTGTGTGTGTGTGTGTGCATATGTATAAAATATTTGGAGGGCAGAGTTGCAGAGAAAAAGAGAGAAGAGAGATTTTCTATGTACTGATTCACTCCCCAAATGGCCACAGTGGCTAGGCTGAAGCCAGGAGCCAGGAGCTCCATGAGGGTCTACCATGTGGGTGGTGGGAACCCAAGGACTAGGGCCATATTCTGTTGCTTTCCCAGGTGCATTTGCAGAGAGCTGGATGGACCAGAAGTGCAGCACCCAGGAATTGAACTGCCACATGTCTGAGATGGCTCAGTGCCTTGACTTCCTGAGCCACAGGGCTGGCCCTGTTCCCTTTCTGCTTGCACACTGCTTCAGTGCGAAGAGCACATTTCCCCTTGCTCTTCCATGCCACCAGTGTTACAGGAGCTAATTCTTTTGAGGCGGTGAAAGGGCTGGGGTAGCTCAGGACTTCCAGTAGTAATGTATACGTTACATGCTGTTCACAGACATGTAAACATGTCTATCTCAATATTTATCATTTCTTTGTGGTAAAAACATTCAAAATTCTTCTAGGTTTTTAAAGAAAAACACAGTACATTATCATTATTTATAGTGATTGTATAGTGCAACAGAACACCAGAATTTCTTTCTTCAAGCTAACTGAAACTCAGCACGCAGAACCCTTACCTCATTCTCCCTCCTCAGTACTCTCCCAGGTCTCATGTTAATGCCATTTTATTTTCAATGTCAATGTGCTCAACTTGTTTAGATTCAGTACCTACAGTACATAAGGGGGGCGGGGGTCATGTGATGTTAGCAAATCTGTTTGACCACAGACCTGAATCCTGGTCTCCAATAGTATTACCAGTCATATGTATTTTTACCTGCCTTATTCTTTTTTTTGACTCCTGTAACTACAGCTCTGTTGCTTTAGTGTTTGAATTAATGAGGGAGGCTTCCAAATCCTGACTCTGTGATGTGTCCTGACTAGGTGATTTTATCTGACATTTTCCTGTGTCTAGCAATTTGTACCCATAAGATCATTTTCAAGAGCAAGCAAATGCTGTAACGGGTGAGCTGTAGAAATCAGAGCATTAATATAACTCCTTGCTTTCTAGCATCACCTGGCAGAGTTTCAGAGAGCTTATATTTGGGGAGCAAAAATCAGTCTCTGAAAGAGACCTGCTTAGGGTTATTATGCTCAGGGAGATCTTGGAAAGCCAAGTCATGGCAATAAGGCAATAATAGCTGGCATTTATTGACTATGCGTCCCGTAACACACAATGTTATAAATGATTACTGTATAAATTGACCATTTCCACATTAGTCCAACAAGGACAGGTTATACTCATATAATGTTACACAGACTAGAAATTTTCACAGACTAGAAATCAGAAGCACAATTATCATTACATATCTGTTCAGTGTGAGAACCAGGAGATAAAACTAGGCAGCCTAGCTCTAGACTCTTTTTTTTTCTTTCGTTTTCATCCCTCCCTCCTTCCCTCCTCCCCCTCTCCCCTCTCCCTTCTCTCCCTCTCTCCCTTCCTTCCATCCATCTTTTTCTTTTTTCTTTTTTGTTTTCTCTTTTCTTTTCTCCCCTCCTCTCCCCTCCCCTCCCCTCCCCTCCCCTCCCTTCCCTTCCCTTCCCTTCCCTTCCCTTCCCTTCCCTTCCCTTCCATTCCCTTCCCTTCCCCTCCCCTCCTTCTCTTTTAAGGTTTATTTCTTTGAAAGGCAGAGTTACAGAGAGAGGGAGAAAGTGAGCTTCCATCTGCGGGTTCACTTTAAATGGCACAACAACCAGAGCTGGCCTAATCTGACACTAGGATCTGGGAGCTTCTGGCAGGTCTACCACATGGATACCAGGCCCCAAGGACTTGGATCTTCCTCTGCTGCTTTCCCAGATGCATTGGTAGGAAGGTAGCTCAGAAGCAGAGCAACCAGAACTTGAACTGGAGCCCATATGGGATGATAACTTTGAGGCAGCAGATTCATCCACTAAGTTACAGCACTGACTCCTCTAGAGGCCAGTCTAAGCATTGCATCTTCTGTTACTGGCTCAATTAGGATAGTCATCCTAATTGCCTTGAGTCTGGGCTGCCACAATTTTGGATTTCAGAAATTAAGCGATCCAGAATGATTCACCCAATTCAAATGCTCAAGTTAAAGCTGTTCAGTTAAAATCTACAATTTGACTTATGGGAATTGATCAGTAAAATTTAAACAAGAGAATGATCTCAGCTGAGATGGCCAATAAGGTGGCATATCCAGAAGTTTTTTGCTTTTGCTTCCTATATAAGTAATCCTCACTTTACTCTGAACCATAGAAATGAATTATCTTGGGGCTGGTATTTGGCCTAACCATTAGGTTATCAATTAGGATGCCTGCATCCCATATCCAATAGTTGCCTTCTATATATGACTCCGCT